CCCCCTTAGCCTGTCCTCACAGGGCTTGACAAGGTGGCTCCTAGTGCAGTGGCCATCTCTCACTGTGACACCTGAACTCTACAGTAAAGAGGACAAGAAGAAGCAGAAGAAGCAGAAGGCGGAGAGGAAGGAAGGACAGAGCAATGCTGGCCTGGAACTAGAGGAGAAGGAGTCCTCAGATGATGAGCAAGGAAAGAAAACGGCCTTGTGAAGCCCCCAGCAGCCTGGGGATGCTCTGTCCACGCCCCTCAAGCCACAGCCGCCGCTGGAAGCAGGCCTGTTGTGGCCTGGATCTGAAAACCAGGAGGACAGCTCTGCCTGGCACCCACTGCAGACACCCACCATCGACCTGGTGCCTATACCCACCCAATACCCTCTTTCCCTCTCCATCCTCTCTTGACTCCACCCTGCCCCCTCCAGGCACGCTCCCAGCATCACGTGACTGTCCCCTGTGGCCCTCACCCCAGTACCTCCTAGGAGGCCTTGCACCCTGTGTTTGAATTTGTATCCGTGGCCCACACTTTCTCAGTCAGGGTCTCTCTTCTCTGTCCTGAGGCTGTCCCCATAGTCACCTGGTTCTTTCTGAGGACCTTGTCCAAAGGTCTCCCATTCCTGAGCCCTCCGGGGGAGGTTGTTTTCGGTGGGCAGTTCCAGCAACGGCCACCAGGGGGCGGAGGAACCCTCCAGGACATTCAATTAATAAAGGCTCCTAAAGCTTTTTGTCAGTCCTTTTGTGTGGGCTTAGGCCAGAGCCAGGGCAGGGGTCCGTGGTCACGAGAGGCAGCTGGGCCTGGGCCTGGGCCTGGGCCTAGCTGTGACACAAACGTCTGGGTTGGTTCTCATGTAGGCCGTGGCTGTAGACTCACGTGCCAAAGACAAGCGCGTTCGGACTGTGCAAAGCTGTGTGGTCCTGGGAAGGCCGGCCAGCCTCGCCGAGGTCCCTGTCTCAGCAGTGAGGAGGAGTCAGGGTCCTGGGACGTTGTTCTTCCAGCCTCTCCTGCAGAGCTAGTCGAACCTGAAGGCCACAGGGTTCCTTCTAGGGGGCTGGGTTCCTATTTAAGACTTGCTTTCATTCATGTCCACCCGTGAGCCGAAGATGACCTTGAACTCCTGACCCACCAGCCTCCAGACAGGCTCCAGCCATCATGCCAAGCCTATGGCTCCAGGGCGAGGCCCAAGGCTGGAATTGCTGGCCCCTGAGCCTCCATAGCCCGCCAGCAGCAGAGGTTCGGAGGGCTCCTAGTGGCCCAGTGCCCAGGTCCGAGGGCAAAGGCCCCAGGGCTGGGCACAGCGTCACCCTCCCCGGTCCAACCCAAGCCAATCATGGACACACAGAAAGAAAGACCCAAGAAGAGCTGCAGCTTAAGCTTGTTTAATTTTTATACATTTTTTCTTCCTTTTATTTATTTTTTTTGTCTTTTATTGAATCTTTTATGGACCCCCCCTTCACGTTTTTTTTTTATTTTTTATTTTTTTTTGCATAGGGAGAAACGGAACAGCAGGCAGTCAGTGGTGCTGAGGCGCGTCCACAAAACAAAACAAAAAACCAGAAACCAAAATGAATTTGTAATATATGAGGTTATGAGTGGAGTATGCTGTGGGCGCGGGCGGTGACGAAGCGGGGGGCCTGGGGTGTCCTCCACTCCCCAGCCAGATCCTACTGCTTGGGGGGGCGGGGCAGAGGGTGCCTCAGACTGCGCAAGCGCAGCTATGAAAAGCCGAAGGTCAGAGGTGCATTAACCCAAGAGTAAAATACAAAATGGCTGAATGGAAACAGAAATCTCAAAATAAAAATCCAAAAGATCTTGGCAGGAAAATGAAACGGCCAGCCTTACACCCAGAAAACAAGGAAGGCCAGAGAAGAGAGTGAGGATTGATGAAGAGAAACGTCCACCCACCCCCTGCAACCCTCGAGCACCCTGTCCAGTCCCTCACACCCAATGCTTGTCCCGGCACGGCAGGGAACTCTGGGTGCTCACTCTGGGACCCTCAGACTTACAGGGCTTCGGTTTGAGGGGATATGGCTGCCTGGCTGGGATATGAGGTTTTGAGCGTATCCAGCTGGGTCCTCCAAGCTGGGGTAGTGAGGCAGGGTGCCGGGGGAGGGGTGGTGGTTTGGGGGTGCATCCCTTCCTCCTGCCCAGCGCACCTGCTGGTTCCTGTCTCACTTCCGAGGGGAGCAGGTGTGGGGACTGAGGGGGCAGGGGAGGACCCCAAAACCGCACCATCAGATGAGTGAGGCACTGATCGGGAAATGACTGTTTGGTACCCCGGCTACAGGACCCAGGGGATCAATCGCTGTGGGGCTTCCTCCCTCCTCAGCCCAAGCTGAGTGCGCTGGACGAATGAATGGAGGGGAGAGGACAGCCATTGCCAAGTGGGGTCTGACGCTGGACAAGTTCATAAGGGCAGGGATGGGGAAGTCAGGAGTGGTGGCACACGCCTGTCGTCAGAGCAACTGAGGGAGGGAGGATTGCTGGCCTGGGCTACCTGGGGAGAACTTGTCTCTAAGATATCAAAACACTCGGTAGAGAGTAAGTGGCTGGGCCTCGAACCCAGCACCCCAGGAGAGAAAGGACCACCCAGGGAGGATCCGGCTAGAGGGAGAAAGCTACTGTGTTCAGCACTGCGGGGATTAACTCCAAACTAAATAAGAGTATATGTACATATGGGCACAGCCCCGGCCACACCGCCCCCAAGGCCAGGACATACTGCTGAGGCCTCAGGCGTCTTGTCTTTGGATGGTGGTGAGCTTGACTGGCCAGTTCTCCCCTCTGGGGACCCAGGCCCTGTCTCTGCTGGGGAGCGGTGAGAACCCCAACCTCCTGGCGTCATTCCCACCACCCTGGGAGTTCCTGGTTATCAAGCTCAGGGCCCCAGATATTATCTAGTCTCCACCTGGAAAACAGGGTCACAGGCTAGACCCTGAGCGGCAAGGCCGTGGGGGGCTTCGCCAGGGTGTGATGCCTGTCACGGATGGGTAAGGGATGGAGGCCTGAAGTGGAGATGGGTTTGAAAAAATGTTAGTTTCATATACAGAAAAGAACTTAACCCTGAAATCCCAACGGCCCTCTCCAGCTTCGGGTCATCCATCACTGGACCGGGCCAGCGTGGGGTCCCCGGGTGGGAGATGGAGAATTTCTGAGAAATCGGGGTGGGGAAGGGGATCTGATTGGCTGTTCTCAACCTGCCGCCAGGCATGCCCTGTCCACTGTGCCCACCCCACCCCGTGCTGATGGTGCCTCCTCATCTACTGCCATCCCACTGACTCCCACTTCCGGGGGGGTGGAGGACGCCCCCCCCACTAGGCCTCTGGCAGCGCCCAGCACTCGGAGGGCTGAGTGTGTGTGTCGGGGGAGGGCTGGGGCAGGAAGACGCAGGGGATGGATGGCTTGGAGCCCTGTCTTGGGACTTCTGTCTGCCCCCCTGGCTATTGTCTTTAGCTTTGGTGAAGTTTAAGAGCAGAGTTAACAGAAGACAGAAAGAAACAAAACAACAAAAACCCAAAGGCAACCACAAACAACAAAACCGAAAAGAAAAATTGAAATCACGGACGTTGACACCGGCCGGCTGTGTCCCCAGCCCTGGCCAGGCCTCCCCACAGCTGAGCTCGACCCAGACAGACAGACGGACGGATATTGCATATATTCAGCTTCGTGGGTTGGCTGGAAGACGGAGGAGAGGACTTGGGGAGAGATGGCCCCCCAGGCCGGCCCTGGGGCTGGGAAGCCTGAGAGCCCCTCCCTGGGGGGCCGGGGCTGGGGACTCTAGGGGCTGCGTGGCAGGCAATGAGCACCAGGCAAGTCCCATCCCCCGACTCGGGGGTGGGGGGCAGGGCTGAGGGGTGCGGGGTCACAAGCCATGACCAGTACTTTGACTTCCTTAATAGTGTTTTCCTTTGTATGTTCTGGGTTTGGTTTTGTTTTTTATCTTTTTTTTTTTTTTTCTTTTTCATTTCTTGAAGCAGCGTCTCGCTCTGTAAGGCCAGGCTGGACCTGGAACTAACAGCAATCCTCCTGCCTCAGCCTCCCAAGGGCTGGGATCACAGGCGCGCGCCACCACGCCCAGCCTTTTTTTTTTTTTCTTTTATAAAAAAATCTTTTAAATTTTTTTTCTTTTCTTTTTACAAATAGAAATACCACCTTCTTGGATTTTATTTTTTATTTCATGTAATTGCTTGTCTGTTTGTAACTATGCGTGCAGGGCATGCGTCTGTGTGCGCGGGGATTTAGAAGTTAATACTTGTCCTCGGAGAGCAAGGCACATGTCGTGGTAGAAAGTTCGTGCAAATTCGGAAAGAATGGATTTTTTTTTTTTTTTTTTGGTAAGGATATATATATATATATTTTTTTTTTTGTGTATCCTTTTTTTTTCTTTTTTTTAGTAGAGGCGGTAGGGGGAGCGGGCAGGTGGGGTGGGGTGGACCTGTCATGCACACAGCAGCCCGGGGGGGTGGGGTACGGGGGCTCTCGGGTGCAGGGCCTTAAGCACCATGCAGTTAGGTAAGTGGTTGGTTGTCCTGACCCCTGGGGGACCCGGCTGGCTGGCTTGGGGGGTCAGAGGGGACCGGCCAGGTCCGCACCCACTGGCCTGAGCCCAGCCCCATACCTGGACAGTGGCCTCCGCGATGTCCCCATGGTCCCCCAGCTGGTGGGTCCCTGAGGACGGACGGACGGACAGGGACAGATGGTGGGGTTCCAGGCCTCAGAGGCTGGGGAACAGCAGGTGGGCGGGGCCTAGCCCCAGGCTGCAGGGGGAATGGCTTGCGGCCTCCACGGGGAGGGGACACAGCAGTGCCCGGCATGACGGGGCCAAGATGGGTGGGCGAGGAGGAGGGGCCTTGGTAGGTTCGGTGGCCCTAACCCACCCAATGTCCCCTTCCGGGTCAACCCACTCTAGACAGGGCCCTGGGTGGGTGAGGATGGGGGCCGCGGAGCCGGGGCTGGGCACGGCCCCTGCACCCCATCTTAGTGTTCTCTTTAGGTCGGTGAAGTGCGCATAGCAGACGGGGACCTAGCCACCCTGCCACCCCATCACTCCCAGAGCCATCCCACCTGAGGTCCGAGTGCACTTCCACCAGCCTTCTTGGTCCCTGTGCCGGGCCCCACATCGTCAGGGGGGTCAAAGTGCAAAGGGGGTATCCCCCTGCAGTGGGGCGCCCCAGGGCGGGTCTCCAGGAAGTAAGGCACTGGCAGAAGTGTAGGGGGACAGCGCACGGCCCAGCCTGCTTTCGGGACACCCAGCTCTCCCCCTGGGTCCCGTCTCTCTACCTAGAGGGCGGGCGCGCGGCGATGAGGGGCGGGTCCGCGGGGGTGAGGGTGGCGGCGGGCGGGCGGAGGGGTTAGGCACTTAGATCCGGCACCTCCCGCCTCCAGGGGCCTCGGCGTGGGGTTCCCCGGCTCCTCCACCTCTGTCAAGGTGCTGATGACTTTCCGTGTGCGAGCGGAGGCCGGGAGGGTCGGGAGCTGCGTGGCCTCTCATGCCGGGGTGGGGGTGGGGTCAGATTGCATAGAGAGACGTGTCCTTCCAAAGAGGTCCGCAAGGAGAGGGGGGCCGGAGGGCCGAGGTGGAGGCTGGACGCGGGACCCTCCCAGGGATCCCAAAGTACCTGTGTGGGCGCGTGTGTCCCCAGCAGGGCCAGCGCTGGGCGGCTCCCGCGCGCCTCCTCCGCCCACCGCGCGCGAAGTCCTCGCCAGCACCGCCTCCGGTCTCCTGTCT